TAGCAACTAAGTATTGCAGCTTGTCCTTGGGGAAGATGAGGCCGTTTTGCTATTTAGATCTATGGCAGTAGACAAGTCCTGTTGCCTATGAGATATTTGAGAGGCATCTTCAAGGCTTCGCAGTATCACCACACTGAACTTTAGGTCAGTTGGAATTAGCTTCATTGCCTCAGTACTATTCCTCCATGTCTGGCTCAGTGTTGTCCCCTGTATCCCCTGGACTAATTATGATGTCTGAAAATAAATGGGTGGGACAAGTTGTGCCAGTGTCTGGAGTTAAACAGCACATGGACATTTGTGTGAAAGTGTGAGCCAGGATGTTTGTGTTCATTCTCCCAGTTCTTTCAGCAAAATGATTTTATAAATAATCAGCCCTTAATTGTGTGATTCCAGTTAATGCAGAGGGAGTTAATTAACATCTGGAACAAGTTTCCTGGCCCAAGCTATTAGCTGTGTTCAGTGCAGAATTCAAACAATGTACGGAGTGAGGCCTATAGCCAAATGACTTTGTACATAGCTGCAATGAGAAATAACTAAAGATGGATGGGGTTTTACAGCGGCACCAAGATAATGTCCATTTTTGGTAAACAGATATAGGCTGAGTCAAGTCATGGGTGTTATACCCGTCCAAAAGGCATAAAGAATAGGCATTACCTCTTACTTTATCTCCTCTCTTTAAATTCTCTATTGTGGTATCCCAACTTTGTGTCCAAAAGTCATCTGAATCAGTGATTCTGCATTTTCACAGCTGAGGGACAAAAAATATTAAGTCAATGTAAAGTTAATATAAAGTCCAGGACTTTTGTGCATAGGACAGGAGATAATATTAGCAAAAGGAAGAATCTACTGTGTAGGATTCATGGAGCAGAGTGCCAGGTCTGCACACCAGGCTGTTGGTGCCACCTAAACACCTCCCTGTCCCAAAGGGAAATACTGCAGCATCCTAGTGATGACAGAATTACATGACTTTGCAAGCCAGGGAAAAGCCATTGGCTTGGTTGGGTGGAATGTATGACAAAACTTTTTTTGATCAATAATTATAAACTAGGAGTAGCTGTGAGAAATATCTTTTCATTCTGGAAACCCTTTTCTCCTGTTTTTCAATACCAAAGCATATTGTATAGCTCCAGAAACCGGATTTGCATATGTCTTTGAGCCTTTGCTTCAATCTCTTCCTAGGGCAGGGATCATCTACCTGAGACAGTTCATATAGTTCTTGTATTACCACCCCTAATGTGGTGGATTGTTGCTAAAGGTTTCTTACACTCACTCCTGTTCCAGCAGAACTTGTGTTGTGTTTTATGCATGAGTTTCTCACCGCTGCACTGAGGAAGCATGCGGATGAGGAATGCCTCTCCAAGCGATCCCGCAGCTAGGAAGCATAAACAAATCTTGCTGAGTACCAGCAGAGAACTGCAGGGTGCAGGTTTTATTTCCATGAGGTTCTACAGAAAAGCACTAAAGAAAAGCAGGAAGGGAGTTCTGCTGATAGACATCATGGAAGCAGAGAGAAATTGGTCGTAAAGGGGGTGGACAGTGTGGCAGAATTCATCTTTCCTGCGATTGATGATCACTGAGTTGAAAATCAGAAGGTAGAGCCCTATGCCATGGAAACAATGGCTTTGGAGAACTTGAGGAATTCTCCTTATCCCTTATCCTTGCCTTTGGGGAAGTAATCCCACCCTCACTGCCCTGTCCTCTTTATCTGGCAGAGCTACAGGTCTTGTAAAAAGAAGGAAGCAATTCCCTGATGGAATAGGCAAACACAGAGGATCTGATTCAGAGCCTGCTGAAGGACACCGGTTCCTTCCCCAAGTTCAAAATGTTTGGGAGCCAGCTCTGGCTCCAAAGGTGATGAGGAAGCAGGACACACGCTGTGTCCTCCAGTGCTCTCTGGGATGATTCCATTAACACGTCTCCCAGGACCCTGGGCAGTGCTGCTCTCCCCAGGCCTCGACATGGAGGCACTGCCGTTACTCTGCGAGCAGAGAGGTATCAAATTCATCTCTCTCTGGATTTATGACAAGCCTGCATTTCACATGCACTTTTCTTAATCTGTGTCATAATTAGAAACATTGCTAATAACTTTTTAATATCAACGTTTAAAAAAAATCAGGCAAATCTTTCACAGCATTTTTTATTGCCCATTTACAATCTCTAATCAAATGGTTTATGGCTCTGTGTTTTGGAAATACACAACATAAGAAAATAGTAGCCTTGTGGAATTATGCTTTTAGGATAATGACAGGGATGAATTACAATTCTTTCAGTTAAACTGTAATGGCTGCACAGATGCTAGGAAAAAAACTATTGTGCAACATGTTCTGATACCATTAATGTGGCACCTGCTAAATCCACCAGAGTCTGTTCAAGGCTTTGTTAGCTTTTTGTTATGAATATTATTTTCAGGGTTTGTCACTGAACCATGAACATTCACTTGGGGATAAGATTTCAGTATACGGGCCTTAAAAAAAAATAATTGAGAAATACTCAACCATTTTGCATGTGTGCATTTCAGAAGACAGATTGTGAGGTATAGTTTTCTGATCTTGTAGGACTCCAAAATGGTTCACATTCTTCTCAAGACCTAGGTGGACTTAAAGAAGAATTTAGTGGAATTTACAGAGCTGGAAACTAAATCCTCTAGGCTACCGTTGGCTATCAGGAAATAATAACATTTATCCATAGATGAGATGCAAAACTGATATCAATGCCAGGGGCATCTCCATGTGCCTTTCCAAGCTGCCCCTGCAGGGGCCACCCACGGGTGCTCCTCAAGGACACCAACCAGAGGTGGGAAATATGGCTGAGAGTCACTGCGTGAGTCCCTGTAGAGACTGGAGCTAACTACTGGTAATAAAATGTGCTGACGGATGGACGTGATAGATGCGATGGACAAGGGCTGAGCCAACTGTGCTCACCACAGCAAGCCATGACAGTAATTGAGGTAAATAATATTGCTAACTGAATGGCACTGCATAAATTTGCTTCAATTCCCTTTATAGGACGTTTTAGCTACTATACACTACCAGTAACAATATGAGGCTTTTGATCAAAATATATTCCGTGGCTCTCTTGTTAAGGCAATCTTTATAAATAAAGCAGTGAGGAACTGAATAAAAAGCACTAACAGACTGTAAAATCAGAGCAAACTAGCCTGGTTCTCTTTCCTCTACGTTGCTATAAATTAGAAGAAACACTTTTTTGTGCTATTTGCTGAAGTAAAATATCTCCAAATACAAGAAACACTGCTAATAATCAAAGTTGGTATTTATTCACGTCTCAAGGATCACAATTTTTAGAGGGGTAAAATTTCCTGAACCTATAGCCTAACCTTTTCTTTAGTTCAAACCTTTTCACTCCACTGGACAGAGCATGAATGAAAATAAGACATAGGATATTTCATTCTCTGCCACTGAATCTGCTCCATCCTGCTCTGTATTAAAGGCCTGTTCATGCCTTGGGCATCTGTAGCTGACCCTTTGTATTAAGACCTCCTCTGCAGTGGAGTCCTCATGCATATGCCCATTGATGTATTTTAGAGTAAAGATAATTTCGTGTTTTGGGTGTCTGCTCTGGCTTCATATTCCACAGAAACACCACTGGTATCTAGTTTTTTATTTTCATGCCTGTATTTCCTCCTATTCCCTGCTATTTTATATTGTCATATTCCAGAGAAAGGGCTTTCTTACGGCTATCTTTGTCAAAACCCCAGGAGCCACTTAAACATCTCTTTAAAGGGCTCTCTGTCCCTTGGGTGAATTTCCTCCTAATTGCATCCTTTAACTCCAAAAGCGGTTTGGGGACACACTTTCTATGAAAGATGCTGCAGACAACAAAGTTGCCTTGCTAGTGTTTGTGATTTTCTATTTCTATCCAGGTAAGTCTCTGCACACCAATTTGCTTTCTCTTTTCCAATACCATCTCCTCCTGGGGCTAGTTCCTGGGACAGAGCTCTCTTCAAATAATTTAATTATCATGTGGCACACACCTTTTTAGTTCCCCCTGAAATAGTGTGTGATGTCTTTGGTTTACATCACTTGTTGGAAAACACTCCAAAGCATTGAAAAACTATTAAATCGGAGCAGTATTGGATGCCAGCACACAGGGCTATTAGTCTAATTCATCCTTTAGATCAAAGCCCACACAGGCAGCTCTCCTGCCTACAGCTATTTTCCTTTTACTTTCCTGCTTGACAGTAGTCCCTCATATCCTTCTGTTCTGCTCGCTTTGAACATACACGTTTTCCTTTAGTCATGGAAGTATAATTTATGTCTATTATACTGTATTATAGATTGCAGATCAGCACAAGCGCGCGCTACCGCCTGGGACGCCTGTTTATTGTACGTTGGGGTTTCCGAAAATAAATAACTAAGACCTAATCCCTGCTGAGGTGGGGAGAGAAAATTAAGAAGATGGAGGACTTGGTTGGGGAGGGGAAAGGAGGGCTAAATTCTGCCCTCAAAGTTTAATTTACAAGTAGAGACTTTGCCGCGGGATTTATTAACCCCACATGGTGTGCGGCTGGGGCACGGCTGGTCCTGCTCCCGATCCTGATCCTGCCTGGACCACCCAGCGAGCGGCGCTCCTGGTGGGCACTACCGCTCCCGGAGATCCTGGTGCTGCTCCTCGTGCAGCGATCCCGGTGCCGTGAAGTTCCCGGTGTCGCTCCCGGTGTCAGTGCAATTCCCAGTGCTGGAGCTCCCAGTGCCGGTGCAGTACTCCCGGTGCCGGTGCTGCTACCAGTCCCGGTGCTGCTCCCGGTCAGCATTCCCAGTGCGGATCCCAGCGCCTGCGCTGCCGGTGCCACTCCCGGGTCAGGGCGGCACTGAGGGATGTCCTGATCTGGGAGCGCGTGTGCGCGGAAGGGGGAGGACATGAGAGGGGGGGAGAGAGAGGGAAGGAGACGGGCAGAGGGGAGGGAAGGAGGGAGGAGGGAGCGCTGGAAACATCCCTCGGCCGCGCTCACTCCGCGGAAGCTGCGCGAGGAGCAGGAAGATGTTCGACAGCTCGCAGTACCCCTACAACTGCTTCAACTACGACGGCGATGAGTACCCAACCTGTAGCTCGGACGAAGAGAAAAAATTCACGAGGCCGGCGTACAGGTAAGGGGAAGTTTTCCGCAGCCCCATTCCCTGCGGAGCCGTCAGTGGCAGGGAAAGCCCCTTGGCGGTGGTGGGGACCCCCTCCAATCCAGGCAGGGGGTGGTGGTGCTGGTGGGAGGATTTTGCCCCTTTCTTGCCCGATGTGTTCAGGTGTCGCTTCCTGCCCCGCGGGGTGACAGCAGCACCCGTGTGCCACACGGTGCCGAGCCATCAGTGCTCACTGCCTGCTCTTCGGAGCCCCGGAGAAAGGGGGACACGCAGGTGCTGTGGGAGGCACCGACACGGGACACAGCAGGTGGCTGCAGCCACGGCCCGGGGCCTGCCCCTGTCCCAGGGCTGGCATCTCTGAGCCGGCTCCAACTCTCCAGAGCCTGCAAGTTCAGGGAAAGTTTTCTGATAGGATCTGAGATGCGAGGGACCTTTCCTTACTCTTCCCGTGTCTAAGCCCTTGCATGAGGTTGCGCATCTGTGTGGGATCTGGTGCTCTGCAATGACACCCGCGTTTCACGCTGCCCGATGGCATGGGACAAGCACCAGCGGTGCAGAGCCCATCGTGTCTGCCGGGGTCAGGATGCAGGTTCACATGGGCATCTCTCATATGCACATATGATCCTCATCACATGAGTCCTCATTATCTGAGGATATGATAGATGACAATATTATACTATCTTCATTATTATCTGCGTATAGGGCAATGGTGTAACAGCCAGTTTTCCTTTTTTCAGCTACATTGCCTTAATTGCAATGGCCATCCAGCAAAGTCCATCAAATAAAGTCACCCTCTCTGGCATTTATGACTTTATAATGAAGAAATTTCCTTACTACAGATCAAATCAAAGAGCCTGGCAGAACTCCATCCGACATAACTTATCACTTAATAGTTGTTTTGTAAAGGTAAGCTCAGTACTATATATTTACATATACATTGTGCATAGATAAAAAAAAAATGCAGGAATAATCTCATCACTGGGGAAAAAAGGAAATAAACAGCTGAGCTAAAATCTAAGTTGTCATTCATAAATATAAAGAATATGTCCTTGTCTGATGCGTGCTAATAGATAACAAACTGAAGAGGCTGGAGTTTACATCCTATTCTTATAACGACAGAGAATAGGCTTAAAAGCCTTGTCATTGGTGTTTACACCATTCCTGAATGTAAATGAATGCAGATGTTAAGCAGCAGCATCTGTAACACATACAAATACCGAACTGCTTTTAAATAAATACAGGTTCCCAGAACAGAAGGGAATGAGAAGGGGAAAGGAAACTATTGGAGCTTTGCAACGGGATGCGAGTCCATGCTGGATCTCTTTGAAAATGGGAATTACAGGCGAAGACGGAGGAGGAGAAATATGAAAAGGGAACATAAGGAGCAGAGACCAGGCAGAGGGAAAAGTCCTTCATCCCCTGATACGCCTTCTACGGACTCTGGTTTAAACAATGTTTTCTCCTCTGAAAGCAAACATGAAAGAATTGAATCAGGACCAAGGCTATTGGAGCCTCATGGGTTTGCTCCAAACACTACAACCACCCAGCAGAGTCTCAGCAATTCCTCCTTAGGAAAATCGGATTCTGAAATTAAATTTAGCATCGATTACATTCTTTCAGCTCCTGACCCTCTGCCTGTTCTGAGATCTCAGTATAATATACAGGAAAATAAATATCATCTACTGGAGGCCCAGCAAATTAATCTGCAGTTCTGGACAATGTGATGCTATTTATCTGCAGTAACCAAGTTGCAATGTATGCAGCAGCCTCACATCACTGAAAATCAACCATCTGCCTTCTCTTCTTCCTTGCAAGTAGTATTCAGAAATGGTTATCAATCCACCAGCTGATCTCATCTCCACCAAAAGAACTTTGCTAAGGTTAAAGTATAAATAACAGTTATCAACACCAGTTTTCCCTATGCTGAAATACATGAAATTCTAGCATTGTTTTCTGACCTATCCTGGACTTCATTCAACATCACACGGGTTTCTTTTCTCAGGCAGACTCCAACCGAAAAGAGACTTCTTTATCACTCATTGCTTTATTAAAGGCAAAGTGGATTTGATTCCACTTTCACTGGTGGGAATTAGGATTAATTCCACTGAAGTATATAGGTCAGAACTTAAACTGATCTACAACAGTGTAATTCTGTGGATATACACTGGCTGAGAATGTAGAAGGTTGGCAGGTGGCTTTGCTTTCTTAAAAGGAATCACAGAAAACCACTTGGTCTTCCCTTAATTTTGATTTTAGCACCCTGCCTCAACCACGTAGCATTAATCTGTCATTCATTGGTGAATATACTTATTAACAGCTGTTGAAGTTGCATTTTGTTGATATACAGGAGAGAGTGGTTTACACTGTTGAAGTGAAGCTATATTCAAAATTATCCCAAGAAATCAAATCGCAAGGCTGCTAAACTCCAGGACATGAATAATGTGACAGAGGCATAAGGACTCCTAATGCTCTCCCTTTATATTATCAGAAAGCTTCCTGAGATGCTGCAGGAAAGTCCTTGAATATATTTCATTTAGCAAGTACAAAGGGAGAAAAAGCCTCGCAAGAACCTGTATCTAGTGCCATCCAAAGCCAGAAGTCTGTCTACCTGCTTTGAGACAAGTTGTATATTCCTATTAAATAGATTTTTATTGATCCTTCCGGCAAGCAATCACCAAAGTGGTACTTGATACAATTTCAGCAAAGCTAGTGAGGTTTATAATCTACAGATAGCAGTGCTAGCTCACGAGCTCCATTCCTAATGAAAGCCCTTTCCTTACCATGTCCAGGGTAGCCAGGCATTTCGGAAGCGACCTTTATGGACAATGATGAACTGTAACCAGCATTTAAGAACTTGCTTTTATATTACTTGATGTTCGCCATGAATCACTTCCAGGATCTAACGGCAACAGGAGTAGAGTCTCCACAAAATCTTCTTTTTTGGCTTGGCTACTGTAGACTTCACCAACTGCAGATAAAAGGAAAAAAAAAAAACAAGGATTCTGGTGGTTTTAAGCAATTATATATAGAGAGAGATAAAATTATCTTTGCAACATGAACTGAAGGTAAAAGAAGGTATATGAGATAAGATTAAGCAAAACTGTGCTAGAGGTATGCTCAGGCATGACTTGAATTTTTATGCAGAAGCTTTGACATTTCATTAAGTTATTTTACATTGTGACTAATATATACTGTACATTTATACTATATAGTCTTATATATTGTTACTGAGAAAGGAAGCAATATCACTGCACTTATATGTTGTAAAAATGCATGATGTATGTTGTCGTGATGTTAAAAGTACTGCCATGTACTTAAAAATTCACCATCAGCACTATTTCACACAGATTGGTAATAAATGCTCATTTCTTTGGAAAACTATAACACTTGGCATCTTCAGGTATTTCCATAGCATGCAAAATTCTTTATTTTTTCTTTTTCAAAGAGAAAACATGAAAAATCATGTCAAACTTGGGTCACTGCATGTCTTCCAAACTTCCAGAGGATTAATTCCTATGGCCAAATTCTGCCCTCAGATAAGAGCTTTCAATTAGCTGTGAATCAATAGCTATTTTGTGCTATTGTCTGAAAACAAAATTTGGCTCATTAGATGTGATTGATCTGCTGTTTACACTGGTGTTAAAAGAGAAGAAAACCTCTGGAATCTCTGGGCAGAGGGATTCTCCTTTGGAGAGGGAAGAGCATTTGCTCCTTTCGTATTTATAGGCAGTACTATAGGTGTGGGAGAGCATGGCTTCATTTAGTGCTTCACTGTATGCATGCACTCACACGCAGGCTGGAATATGTGCATCTCTAGCTTCCTCTCTACATTGAGATATTCATGCTTTATATGCAGACTTTTTGCTGGTTGTTTTAAACATGGCAATGCTGCTGTTAGCCTGATAGTTATAGTAAATACCTGCAGAATATTTAAAATATATATTTTTTGCTGTGAAATGTGCAAGTATGCCTCTTTCTGTGTGCTCTTCGTTAAAGCTGGTAGCAAAGATAACTAAAGGGCGACAAAAGTTTCTACCAAGCAGACTTTTTTCTACTCACACCAGGTGAGTGCATTAGGCTAGCTGCTACTGAGACCAAAGGAGATGCATTTATGGCTACTAATATAGGATAAATAAACATGTTAGGAGAGACAGAACTAACCCTGTGTGGATTTACAGCAGAGATCTAAAGCCATTCCAGTAAGATGAATTAATATTCACAAATAACCATTTCATTTGCTTGCAGTGAAGTGCCTGCTGGGAGACACTGTTTTACTTGAATTTCCCTAACATATAATCAAAGGAATTTGTGTACAAATAGGTGTTAACATTTGTTTTGCAAAGGATATCAATCATATTTCAAAAAAATGGAGGGACATATTTCAATTTGCCCAGTATATTATACTCTGACGACTCCAGAAAGGTTTCCAGCACTTAAAGTGAATGGCATTTAATATAGAACAACATAACAGGGGTGAGGGCTAGACGTGACCTTATTCAAATGTCGTAGCCATTACAAAGCCATTCCCAATGTAATTATAATTAAATACTTTATGCCTTTCTTGCAAATCCTCTGATCGATCATTGATATTAACATTAATATTGTATTACCCCCGAGCAAATGTCTCCCATACAAGTGTTATGGATCACCAGGTTTCCATTAAGAAAGTTGTGAGCCATTGCCGTATGCTGGTCGTGGATAAATTTACGTAAATTACCTTTTCTTGGGGAAGGGAGAAAAAAGTCCAGGACCTTTTTCTTTTTCCCTTTTTTCTAAATCTTGGTACACTGAGGCTGGTGCTGTTTCTGCAGCTCCATCACAGCCTGTCAGCCAGCTCTGCACACCCAGAATCAAGGAGAAGGATCTCAGTGACTACTCTGTATGTGTAACCGGCACAGCTGAAGCTTGGCAGCTGGGTTAAAAGCTAAGCTGATGTGCAGAGACCAGGGCAGAATCTGTCTCTCTTCTCTGATGTGGGCTGGGCAAGGACACAGCAGTCTCCACACCTTGACCAAACAGCGCTGGCTGGGGCAAACATAGCTGCCAAAATGAGACCTGCTTTAAGTCAGGTCTATAGGGAGGCCATCCTGCAGAACAGGGGCATGATGTCCCCAACATCCCCCCACACTTGAGCTCTGGTGTGAGAAGGAAGTGAGCCCACGTGCTTGCACACTGCCACAGTGAATGGGATCACAGTCATCCCTACTGGCTGCGCAATACAAACGTATGTCCCAGATCCCAGACCCAAGCTGCATGGAAATCCTGCAGGGTTAATTCCAGTTGGCCTCTCCATCTCCAGTTCCTCTGGGGCATATTCTCCTCTTTTTTTTTTTTGTGCTGGTATAAATCCTTGTAAATCCATTAACTTTGGTACAATTGCTATTGGAATTGAAATAGTATATGTACAACTGAACTTTCCATATAATACTTAATGTCTCTTGCCCTACAGTGCACTGAACAGTGACAGCAACGCATCTCCTATATGGTGCTCTCAGAACAACCAAAGGGCCTAGCTCCTTATTTTGCCTTGGCATCCAGCTACCAGTTGCTTTTTCCAGACCATGGGTACTGCATGTACTGCAAGACACAAAGAAACTCATACATATCCTCTGCCTCTGTTATACTGAGAATGTCTTATTGCTCTTAGGCTCATTAAATTAAAGAGCAGGGTAGGTCCAAGCCTATAGAAGTTGCACTGAATTATTTTTACCAAGGGAGCTAACATAAAATAACAAAGTAAATTGTGCTTCCTTCCACTCTAACTACAAGGGTTGAAGGCAAATCCAACTGTGAGAAACTTGCCTGAGAAAGAACTGCAGGATTTATCCCACTGTGAAATCCAGCTGTTAATTCAAACAGAAGGGATGGACCTGACTAGATAGGCCAACTGGCTTCTTTCCATCCTGAAGTCCACTGTGTTCCACAAGTCCCTAAATTTATAGTTGTGAAGGTCTTCCAAGGCCCGTAATGAAGTATGGCATGCAATATTTTTGTTATGGAATGCATACTGCAAAGGAAAAACAAGGTTTGAATTTATCTTTCAAATGAAGATTCTGGAATCTCTCAGGACAAACAGTCTAAATTAGGAATCAAAACATGCCGTGTTTCACCATAACTATGAAATTGAAAATAAGCACTCGCAGAGTCCTGTCAGAGTGAAAGAAGAGGTTGTGATATTCCCAGTTGACTTTCTCTTCATCATGAGTATTTCTATGTGTGCAGGAGGATGCAGTCTGCAGCATGGTCCATACCCTTCATTCTTTGAGGGCTGTCATTCTGCTCAAAAAGCTTTTGCCCTTCAAGACTGAGCTGCTGTCCCCCATTAGGTACAGGTACTTCAGGCTCATACTGTCTTCTCCTGCATTCAGCAGGATGCAAATAGGACACCAAAAATACTCTTTGACTTACCAGCCTGAGAGGTGCTTCTCAGTGCAGCTTTCTTGCTGCTAGGACTACACAAAACAGCTGCTCTGCATGAAAGCCAGGCCCACCTAGGTCTTTGTCTATCAGTGGCTCCAACTTAAATAAATAAATAATTTCCTGAAATGTGCACAGCTACAGCAATGCTGCTCTTCCCCTCAGCCATTTGAATCTTTTGTTACCACTAGCACTGCAATTGTCAATGAAAAAATCCTGGCCTTACAGCCCCACATACGTGACTAACTGCCTCCCTGAAGCTGTAGTTTCCATGGCTGCTTATGGTGAAAAACTGTGATGTTTTTCTTTGTCCAGTAAAAAAGACAGGATAGAATCAACTTTCCTCTTAAGCCCAAAGGCTCCACTGACCATTAGCCATCTGTCCCAAGCAGATCTGCTGTGGCTGAAAGTCCTTCTGAGGTTTCATACCACAGATATTTATTTCTACACCAGAATTGCTCCCCATCATCCCCTCTATACTGCGCTAGTATTGACTGCAGCTAGACTGCTGCTGCCACCCTCCCCTCCCAGCACAGTCTATCTGAGCCCGAGAAAAGGAACCACTTCCCACTAGCAGCGAATGCAGAAAATAAGAGGTGCAATGAGCTGTGTTTTGCAGTTCTCTCTCAGACTTTGTAGGCTGGGGGCTATATGAGCAATTCCTGCATCCTGGGAGGCATTTTGGTGTAATCATGCCATAATATCACTTTGCACTGGGCCATCTGGGACCAACTTCCAGGGTCAAAGCCTGACTCTTGTGAAATGAATGGGGTTTTGCCATTGGGCTCAAGGGATCCAAGCCTCCGTTACCAAGATTAATCAGATCAAAGGCCATGTGAATAGCAAAGAAAATTAAATATCTTCCAGCAGTTATCTAGTGCCTTTTCAAGACCAAATAGCAGCAGAACTCCATAGGTTTCTTCAGCCTTGCCTTTCAGCCAGAAAAATACACCCTGTATTCAGTGGGAAATGAGTGCAAATAAGGAAGATGTTCCTCAGAGTCCAAGGCCTGAACATGACAGAACCAGATGTTGGTGTCTGGGTGAGATTCCTGCAGCAAAGATGTTTGCTTGCTGTTTGAGAGCACCTCTGCTCTGGGGCTGGTGCCTACAATGCAAAGAAACAACCAGAGCTAATGCCCAGATCCAGGACCTCAGATTTTCTTTCAGCAGGAATCTGCCCCAAGATCTGCTACAGTTTGGCAAAGGGATGACACTGTACTACTTTCTATTTTGTTTTGCTGTTGATGAAATTACAGGAAAACAAATATTTTCAAGATGATACATTGTGTATCCCTAACAAATACCAAAAGCATTTAATATAAACTCTGAACACATGGTTTGCTTTGTTGTTCTAAGTAACCATTTCCTTTTAACAAAATGAAAAGCTAGCTGTGCTGTGATGCTGCAGATTATAAATTAGCAGTTTTCATATGGTTCTGTGCAATTGTTTCTTGAAGAGCTTTAGGCTACTTCAGACAAAAATTTCAAATAAAATGTGAATTCATTGAACTGTAACTTGTGGTATTAGATTTATAATAAACAAAGGTAGGTCACATAATCATGTCACTGAAAACAGCATTAATAAAATTCAAGGAGCGACATTTTAATCCAGTTTAGGTTCTGATCCTAAAATCAAGAGGAAGTTTGACTCGTTCTCCTCAGAAACTTAGGTAAGCCCAGAGTGGACATGGGGAGGAGGCAGTAGTTCAAATAGGACTGCTGAGGTTGAGGGAAAGACAACAAATTTCCTGTCAGCTGGAGAAGAAATGGGATGGCTGGGATGGGGTAGTCAAGCAAAGAGATTGCAGCAGTCTTTCCTTCCAACATCCTCCTCATTTCATCTTCATGATCTTCATGTTCATTTTTAGACTATCTTTATCCACATTCAATGGAGCACTTAGGGACAAGCCCTCCAGGGCAGTAGATTGCTCAGAGCACCACAGTTTTCCCACCACAGCTACACAAGAGTCCTGAAAGTTGCTGGGGCCACCAAGGAGGAAGGGGATGCACAGGGGGCAGGTTGTCCCAGCAAGAACAAGGGTGAGGTCAATCACTTTTCTCCAAGTTCTACCTCTTTCCATCAGTAGCAAGAGCAAACTGGCTTCTCATCCTTCAAATAGGCAAGGGCAGAGGCTGCACTTGCCGTGAGGAAGCTTTGAGGCATCTTGAATAAATAGTCTTAAAGTATCTCCAGACTCTATTCAGGCATGTGGAAGAGGCAGAGCTATTGCTCTTTCAGAAAAGAACCCTCTGCTTTCAAAGACTCCTCATACCTGAGATGGGAAACATTTTCAGCAGGCAGATTCTCCCATGCTATAAGACCACCCAAGATGATCTTGGACATGTACTGCCCTCTGCCCAGTTTCACCCGACTTCTCATATGGGATATGGGATGGGAGACTTCCAGCAGCTCACTCTTCCCAGTCGGCTGCCCCATTGGTGACAGCAGAAGGGATGCAGGACTCTGGGAAAAGATGTGTGAGGAGCAGACTGCCTCACCAATGGCACTCACAGCCTGGATCTGGGTGCTCGCAGAATCAAACAACATACAGTTCTTTGCCAACAACTCCTAACTTTTGCTTTAGCAACAGCAGTAACATTTTGCACTATTGGAAATGGCCTGGGGTCATTTCAGACAGGCAGAGAAACATGCAGCCGCCTCCCATGGTTGGGGACAGACCACAACAGGGGTCACCTGCCTGGAAGAGCTGTGGTGGCAGCTTGGGGAGCCCTCACCAGTGGAGGAGTTCCTGCACCAAAACACATTCGCCTTAAACATGCTTTGCTGGGCAGATGTTTATATGAGAAAAGGTTCAGGTCTCCTTTTAATGGATGTTTTTTTAAACTGTGGCAGTTCTGGGCTACAGCATCGTAAAGCTGTAACTTGCTGCTTTCACCAGAAATCATTTTAGAGGGAACAAATTAGCGTGCCTACGCTTGCTTTCTTTACTACTCCCCTAAGCCTGGCTGAGTCTGAACCTTTTGCAACAGCAAGATTCAAAACTGGAGAGCAAAAACTACAACATGAGCCCCAAACCAAACCTAGTGTATTCCTACAAGGAATATTCCTGTTAGTAAGTGCTTTTTCTGGACTTTGGGCTTTGTGGAGATGTGTGCATGAACACAGCACATGCAAAATTGATAATGCAGGCCTAATTCTGGCTTGCAATTACTGAGGCTGAAGTTTAAAATTTTTTAAACTGTTGAACTCGCTAGCTAAGTGACTGTACAGCTACCAACATTGATTATCAGGCTTCCTGTTTCCTTGCTTGTGATCCAGTGATATCGACACACGGTACACAGAAACTGCAATCTGAACTACTAGTAGCAATAGCTAGAGGCAATTACAGAAGCACTATTTCTGGTGGTGGCACATGGACTCTTATTAGATTTAACTGTATTCCAATTGTAATACTTTCACTCAAGATTGCAGGAAATTCTTTTTTCAAATCACAATCAAGAAAATAGAAACATATATATATACACATATATATACGCCCTGTTGCTTCCGGAGGAGCCGGCAGCACCTGTAGGGACAGGGCTCCAGCAGGTGATTGAAGTGGGCTCTTTGAAGATTCTCTGTACCACCAGGATATTGGTTCAAATCCAAGGAATCCATCTAGAAGCTTAAAATAGCTTTTTGCTAGAGCAGATGCTCCTCGGATAAAAAAAATCTCCCAGAAAATCCATTCTAGCTCATCTAGTGATATTTCCAAGCCAGTTAGAAAGGGAGAATATTCCCTACTGCAGCAGCCTCAGCTGAAGGAGGAATTTGATTTTGCATTCAGAAGAACTTCTCAGGCTAAAATGAACTCTTTACTTAGTATTTGACTACAAACCTAGTCTCAGTGTCATCTGAAGTAATGATCCGTGACCACCCATTACGCAAAGTCTGAGGAAAAAAAAAAAAATGGCTTACCATGGATGGCAGCTTCTTGACAGGCCAACCTTTTCAGAAGAAAAGTTCAGCAGAACTGAGAAATCTTTTTTCTTTTCTCCTTGTCCATGTGATTTGCAGGAAAAAACTTCTACTAAGGAGCTCTGCCCTCTTCTACCCTTCAGAAGTCCTTAGGACTTTGTGTGTCACTACCCACCTAACCTGTAGCCAAAGTGAGCTGTGAGTGTGAATAAAGCAATTCAAACTGCATCACCCTTAAAGAGATCCTGCACCTGCAACCACTTCCGAAGGCATAAAGTGGCCTATAGTGGGACCAGGTGAGCTGTCAGTAGGACAGGAGATGGAGTTTCTGTCTCAATGCAATGCCAGATGTCTGTAGTTCAAGTGACTGTTTAGCTGTAACCAACTCTTACTTCTAAATTGAAGCTTAAAAAGGTGGATCTTCAGAAAATTGCATCTTTACAGGTCAGCAAGTAGGTTTGTCAAAATATGGTAAGAATGGTTCTTCTGAGTGAAATTTCTGTCCCTCAGAAAAGGGGCAAAGTAGAAATTTCACCTGCTACCACAAGGTGTTTAGGAAAAGTAAGACAAATTGAGAAGAGCCGCATGGAAATATCCAAACCTGGCAACTTTCTCAAAGCTCTTAGGCTCAAGCCCATCTTTGATCATGATGAAGAGGAAGAGAAGCCTATTTAGGATCTGCCTGTCATATCTTCTCAGTGGTGTGTGTGGAGCCAGACTGTGCTGTACTCTGCCAAGGGCCAATACAAAAGTTAGCAGGAAATTCATATTGATTAAATGTGCGTAATATGATGTTTGAAATGAAAAGAACCCAGTTAAGTGTCTTTCATCACTGGATGTATTTTGAGTTACATAATGCATTTCTTGTTAAAATAATCAGTCCTCAATCAGGCTACTTTGGAGGACTAGTTAGGTTATTTTAAGACAACATTATACTTTCTTCAGGAAAACTCTTTTCTGTTTAAATTATTTGCACAAAGTGATGCAGATAATTACTTAATGCTTTGTCATTATACTACATAATCCTTCATCATCTGAACAGGATTAATGGGAGCAGAGCTTGCCAAAACTACCTGTAATTTTTTCCCCCGGTATTTTCCATGCCAAAGACAGAACATCCCAGACAAAGAGGTATGCAAACTTCCTATTTTCTGCTTGCAAAGTGATCCAAGAATAAAATGTATTGCTTTAGCTGGGACTTTGGAACTGCTTTCTTGTCACCGCGGGTTTAATACATTACATTTTAGCCCAATCTAGCTCAAGTCAACTGATGCACCTCAGTCCTGGTACCTCTGTTGTTTACCCACATAAATCACTTTATGGAGGAGAATCAGGGCCTAAGACTTAATGGTTTGTTTTGTTTGTTTAAACATTAGCATCCACCAGCTGTGCCAAATAGATCTTTTTCATTAGTTGTTTGATCATGGTGGGAAAAGCTATTAATTTAGTCACTTCCCTGCAATGAGCTCTGGGGTTGCTACCAAGCCATGAACTGGTGAAAACAATAAATGCTAGACTGTATTAACTGTAAAGGTTAATCCATAAATCAAAGGGAAATGTCAGATGCCTTTTAACATTGATTGAGATGTAATTTGGTGTTGGTAGTGATATGTTTGTTACATAAATTCACAAATGCACTCAATTCCTGTGAGGAGTCTGGGTCTTTGTAACTTAAAATAAATTAAGTACTTTGTTTTATTTACATAACCATGTAAAGATAGATTACCTCATCCTGTTTTAGTTGCGATATATCACGGATTTAAAAATAAGTGAATTTTAATATCCTGCTCCTCTTCCCAGACATTTGGTTTGCTATGAAAATGAATACATTGTTGGTTTTGCTGAAACTATGCCATTACCTTAAATATGTTAAAGTGGGTATTCCTTTTAATTTCTGTTTTCAAATCATGTTTTTTAAATTACAGCCTAAGAATCAGCCTTTGTTTAAATATGCTCAGAAGTATAGAACATATTTTCTTCATTATAGATATATATTTAAATATATAACATAAAACAACAAATATGAGGAGGAAATGCCACAAATTAGATCAGAATGGAACACAGAAACCCATGTCAAAATAGCACAGAAATGATCATTACAGCCACTCACAAAAACATTTCTTTCTACTACTCTTCACAAGCAGAACGTGAGGCCAGAGAATTCTTAACTTGGTGCAAATGCGAAAGTGGTCACCAGACCCCAAAATAGAAACAAATAACTCAGGCCTTTCAAGCTTTATCTCCTCAAAAAAAAAAAAAAAAAAAAAGGAGGTTGCTGCAGAGCATGGGGAAAACAAGAAAACATCTCGCCGTGGTGTGCAAGCCGTGCAGGAATGCTAAGCCCCTGGGGACCGTCTGTTGGGGCTCCCCAAGCAAGGTCCTCAGAAAAGGACAGGGAAGGGAAGATGCAAGCGGAGATTAAGACCACCCTGACCTCCAACCAACTCCCACGGCTCGCGTCTCGGCAGCGGAAAAATGTCTTTGTAATCTGAGGCAATGCAGCCCAACATGAATCACACGTCCACTTGCAGGAAAAGCATTCTGAGAAACATTACAGCGTATTTTGCCGGGAAGAGCAAATCTTTATGCTAAAATGCATCCCTCTCTCTGCCAAAGCTCTGTCTAGAGCTTTCTATCACTGTTGGATTTTTCTCCTAATGTCAGATCAGTAGTCACAGATTTTTCAAATGTATTTACCTTGCTTATATATATAGTCCTCTAATCAAATGTTCAATGTGCCTCCTCTTCAGGGATGGAATAGTAATGAGTGTATAATGAGCTACGGCACAGGCACGAGTTCCCATGCCTTTTGCACTGCCTTCGACAACTCTGAAATCTTCAGAGTAGATCAGTGGAGCCCCACTGATTCGCAAGGCTATTGTCATTGGGAATAAACGAAATCATATTAATATTCACAAAGTCATTCGCTCTAGATGCTAATTGGATGGATTACAACATAAACTACAGAGACAAAGATGCAAAGGGATAAACCTTAGGGAAGTGAATAAAAAGTGTTGGATGTAAATGAACCTCTGAAAGCACCAACATTGGGGAGTTCTCCCCGCGCTCCTGCTGCCGCCCAGCTGGGAACACTGGAGACTAGTTCTCCTGTCACTTACCACAGTCATGTTCTTTCTCTGCTGGTCAGTGCTAACAGTAGGACAAAAGGGCAAAAATTCTTCAGGGCTTGAGGAGCCTGTCCAGCTTGGCACAGGAACACGCTGACAGAGGACCAAGCTGGGCCTCTGCACATGGTGGTGAGTTTGACAGGTCTCAGCCATGTGTCGTCTGACTTCCACGGCTCAGGATGATGAACAATTCCTTCCTGCTCCATCTTCATCTCCTCTACGACCGCAGCTGAAACCTTTCAATCCCTGTAAAGCACCAACGAAATTTTCAAGTTAAATTTTGCTGCTCTTTTATTCTTTTTTCCTTTTCTACTTTTTGGAAAACTGTTTCCTTGATCTATCCAGGACTAGATAGACAGATTCCTCCAGTAAGGATATGTACCCTATACTGCTAACATCCGAATGCTTGAAAAGAGAAGCAAAATGCACAACAAACCAGGCAGTCCATGATCTCCTCCTGTCCTTCTTACGCTGCACACCTGGAGTGATATGTCCTGCTTTGTTGAAGCTGCTCTGGTGTGACCTGGTTTAGTCGGTGCACAGCGCAGAGTTCCCTGTAGCAGCACTTACATAGAGCTGGCGCTGTGTAAGGTCACACATAAGAGTAATACTGGGCTTTACTGCAGTCACAAATTATGAATCCCTCCATCTAGCTTAATTACATTCTAGGTTAAAAGAAAAAAATAAGCAAAGAAAAAAGAAAACACAAAACTCTAAGTATAAAATTTCTGCAAAGAAAAGAGAAGAAAACATGCAGATACAGAATTTAGAAACACAGAGTATTGCTATTTCTGTTATTACTACTACTTTTTTAACCCTGTTCATGGGATAGTTGCATCAGATCTAAACTATTCATTAGGAATTAAAAACAAACAACTTGACTCTTTGGTCTTTTCCTTTTTTTTATTTTTTATTTATTTATTTATTTTTTTATTTGCAGCATCCTTGGGTGAAACAGTCTTTTCCTCCTATATTAAGTCTACAAAACAAACATTGGTCTAGGAAAAAATGCTGATTTAGTCACTGATTGGATGGAGATATTTAAGATATAACTCAGTGAGGTAGATTTTAGAAGATCCTCAGTCTATCTGCATCTTAACTTGCTCAAGGTCATGTGCCTTAGAGAGAGACCAGAACCATCAAAACCTGCTGGTGGGGAAACAAGTTTGACTCATTCTGGGTTTAGGACTTTCTTTGTCAGAGGGCAAGTCCAGTCCCATGTCCCTCTGATGGACTCATCACTCGGGACCTGCTTGAGGTGACAAACCTAAAGCCTCACTGATGTCCCCATCTGGGGCTGTTGAGCACATACAAGGGGCAGTTGCCACCAGTGGCTACAGGAGGGCAGCAGAGGAGAGGATCCCTGCAGCAATAACAGCCAGGCTGAGACAGACTCCCCCATTGTTTGGGGTCATCTGGTCTGCAAACTGTTTCACATGAGAAAATTAGATTATGCCAAACCAGCTTCTTTGGAGTACTATATTTTTTTAATCCAGCATTAAAGGGATGGAAATAACCATAAATCTGGAAGCAATCACCCACACATTGCTTAGAAATGCTGTGCCTCAGTGCAAGAGAAACAGACTACATCAGCGCTGATTGGCCTGGAGTATCTCTCCCCCCACGGCCCAGACAAGTTCAATGTTTCATTAATTAGGCGCTAACTATGGTTAAAATTAGGAGAGCTGCAAGGATCTCTTCTCCCCCTTCAGACTAATTCTCTGATTAAAAGCAGGACCCCTAATAGTGGCTTCAGGGTCACTCTGTGCTGCCAGTTTGAGGGAGGGCTTGGGGACAGCCTAGGGCAGAGCGTGTAGGGCAGAACGGGAAGGAAGGGCCAGTCTGCGGGGATGCCAAAGCAGGGGACCCAGAGGGCAGAGAGGGATGAAGGGGCCACCACTGTTAGCACGTCGTGAGGAACGGATGTGCACAGGACAGACGGGCCTTGTGGGAACTGCAGACCCCTTTGGACTGGATAAACCCCAGCTGTGCATGGGTAGAAAGTGGGCAAAACCCACGGTGGTCTCCAGAGAGCATCTCTGGAGGGTTTCCCAAGGACCCCCGCTCCGACGTCTGATTGTGATGGTACATGGAGGTGCTTGCAGCACCGCTCACCTGAGTGGCCCAGGCCCATGGCGCACCATGACCTGATGTCATGATGGCCAGCTGATGTCAAAGAAAGGGAGGGAAGAGCTGTTCCATAGATGCATCTGAAGCACTGTCAAGCTACAGTCTCCATCAGGAAACAGTGCTTGAAGCAAGACATTCTCCCAAGAAACAAAAGCAAACCTGGCCATCGAGGGCGCAGGGAATGGGAAGAGCCCCAGAAAAAAGAAAAAAAAAAAACCCACAATGGGGACATTCTGTAGTAACCACAAAACCCTGAGCTTTCTGGCGTATCCTGTTTTCCATAAATATTGGCCCCTCTCAAATGTAGAGCAGCCAAGAGCCGCTCGTTTGAATGCAGACTCTCTACTCAAGCGCTTTCATCAGCTATAAAGAAAGTTGCTGTGACAGACAATAACAAATATGAATTAATTGCGCTGAGGTGGGTTCTAGCACCTTGTTGCACACTACAAGCCTGACAGTGGCAGCAGAAAGGCAGCCCCGAGCAGAAGGATCTCATTAGGCCCCAGGAACAATGTGCAACGAGTGGCTGGGGAAAGGATGCAGCCTTGCCTGCCCTGCAGCACTTGAAATTTCAAGGCCAAGGCTTTATATTTTGAAAAAAAAGGTTAAAAGGTCTGCAATTTTTCTCCCATCCTTCCATCTACGCCAACACCTCTACATTTTGAGTTTACTTATCATCAGGGTTCTGAGAAGGAAGGATGAGTTGGAACATCTTTAGCCAGTTTTGCTCCCCATAAGGAAAGGAAAGCTGAGGTCATCTCATTATCGCTTGACTCCAGAAGCTGGGGCACTGTTAAACATCACATCCAGTGAGACTGGCACTAGCATCCAAATAGCTGGCAGGGCTACAAATGTCATATCCAGCTGGGAGAGCAGGGAAATGCTGCGACACCCCTTTGGGATGTGGTGGGATTTGGTTAGCAACATGCCCTCAGAAGGTGCTGATGGATAAATATCTATTAGCAAAGAGCACCTCAGCTTTAGCTTTCAGCATCACGGTGCCGCAGAATAACTTCCCAAAGCAGTAAATCAACATTATCTCAAGGAAAAAGGCTGCCCACCAGCCCTCCAGCAGGACTTCCTCCAGGCAGCAGGACGGCCAAAGAAAGTTGTGTGAGGAAACACTGTTCTCTGGCCAACCCTAAAAACAAAGATCAGTCTGATTTTGTAGTATATATATCCTGGAATCAAAAAAACAAACAAAAAAAACCACCACAATACAACCCATTGCATTTTCATTATTTCTCCCTCCTTGAAGTGCCAGCACGTTTAGCTCCATCGCCAAGCAAAAATTCCAATAAAAATGCTGGAATCAAAGCAAAGCAAAATTGCATCTGGAGAATGCTGCGAAGAAGATGCTTAAGCATTTTGAATGTGTTTAAATTATTATTATTAGCTATAATTTTCTCCTGGCCAGAGCATCTGAGAAATCTTACTTAATTTGCCAACATGCCAGAGTGACTCACATCCATTTTTTTTTCCTCTCTTGCAATACAATATTGGACCACAAACACTCACCCAGTTCACACCCTAACACCTAAGTAGCTTTAACCCCATTTAACTCATGAAAGTTGATTGCCTCCTAGCAGGAAAGGGAAGGCTGGAAGCAGGAGAGATTCCAAACAAACAGCACTTGTAATACTACCCGCTAGCAAAAAGAAGTGCGCTACATTACATTAACTCTCCCGTTGTGCCAAGGAGCTTCATCAAAGTGCATGACCTCAATAATCATATGTTTTGGCCCCCTGCCAGAAACAAGCAGGGAGTTTAAAGTCAAGTAATCATTTCAATGGTTTTTTTTTTCCCTTCCCCCCCCCCCCTTTTTTTTGCTTTTACTGGCATTAAAATCTTAATGTTAGTTTAACATACTTTTTGTCTCCAATATAAATATGTACAGCTATTCACAGAATATGTACAGCTATTCACTGAACTACACAGAAAGGAAAGATGCTGGAGTCAAACTGTTAAAATTCAGCTCAAAAAGAGTCCTAATGTTATTTTAGCTGGACTAGCTGCAAAATTCACTTTCAGAGAGTAGTATTTAGGCCAGCTTGATGCTTTGGAGGTGGATTTCCTGGGATCAGTTTGCCAGTAAATTCAGTTTTTGTGGTTGGTTTTTTCCCCCCATTTGCACTAGCTGAGAACCTGACCCTGAGTTTTCAGCCTCAATCTGAACCTGTAAGTCACTACAAACCTACTTAAAGCCCAGCCCAAGGAAGAATGTCTAGCCCCTGCCCTCTCCCCATGCAGCAAAGGGGAAACACACCTTTCCACTGGCTGCTTGGGAAGATGATATATAACTTGGGATCTAGCAACTGCAGAGATGCCCATTTCCACAAAAAAAAGTGAGCAACCAAAAAAATTTGTAGTAAAAAACCTGTTGGCCTGAGTGAGAGCTCAGACTGGTGCTCAGGAGGATAAGCTGTGGAGAGCTCTGAAGTTTTTCCATGTCCACATGCCAAAGACTGTGTTTGTCTCAGATACTTTCTCCTTTTTTTTACTCAAGAACACAGTTCAAGAGGGCGAGTCTTGCTGTGATTAAAGCCCTACTATCTTTCAACAGGCTTTAACACAGACTTTCTTGGTAAATCAATAGGGCTTGAGGGTATTATTGTAACTACTCAGAGGGCTCTTTGGGCACCATTTAGAAAATAAGAGGGGAAACATCCATCCCCAAAGGTTTGGGGCTGGGATGTTGGTTCAGGCAAAAAGTTCTTCAGAAGGTTCAGGCTCCCCAGTCTAAATAACATCTCTCCTATAGACATGGGTCATAAAAGAGTCACTCCTGGAGTCACCAGACAAGTGATTTGACTTTTTGGTCAAATGGCTTTATATGAGGGTGGGGGAGAACCACCTGCTTTGGTCGAGAAAGGCAACGATCAGCAGCTCTAAAGCAGATGAATGAGGCGGCACAGAAAAAGGCTGTTAGAGGGGCAATGGTGCGTGCACGATTGCACACATCAACAGCCAGATAAATATGGGATATTAGGGAGGTTTTATTTTCCCCGAGCCTGTCCCTTTGTTCTTTCACATCTATAACCATCTATAACACAGATGCCTGCCCATTTAAGGGGTGGAAGGCTTCAAACCATCCTAGTC